TAAGCCAGGGGTAGGCAACTTTTCCCCTTTAAGGGCCGAGGGACTTCAGCTCCCAGAATCCCAGGAGCTATTGGCCAACATGGGACTATTAGCTAACATGGCTGAGGCTTCTGGGAGCTGAAGTCCCTTGGCCCTTAAAGGGGAAAGGTTGCCTACCCCTGGCCTAAGCAGACTGCCAGAAATAGTGCACATTAAATTGAGGCACTGCCCTGGCTCAGTGCTAGGGAATCATGAGAATTGTACTTTTTTCTGAGACATTGAGCCTTCTATGTCAGAGAGCTCTGGTGCCACAATAAATTACAGTTCCCATGATTCCTTAGCCCTGAGCCAGGGCAGTGCCTCAATTTAATGTGCACTATTTCTGGCAGTCTGCTTAGGCCCTAAGTGACTTAAAAAACGTATTAGACTAATACCCTGCCTTTCTTCTAAACCTGAGGTAGTAGCATGTGTAGCAAAGCAAAAGCAAAAGCAGCTTCATTTATATAACGCTTCATACTACACTATGGAGTGTCTAAGCGGTTTGCCCCCCAACAGCTGGGTACTCATTTTAGCGACCTTGGAAGGATGCAGGCCTGAGTCTAGCCTGAGCCCTGGCTAGTACTGAACTCGCAGCCTTGTGCTCTATGAATGAGTGGCTGCAGGACGGCATTTAACCACTGTACCACCAGGGCTCCTTTGTGTAGGGGACTGGAGGGGTGGAGGGACAGAGCTCCAGTATCTGATAGCTTCAGCAAAGGTATTTGTCATGTACTTTGGGGCTGAGAGGCAAAAACAGGTACTACAGACAGACATGACCATGACGTAATGGCAAAAACAAAGAGTTCAGTTAATTCAAATGGAAACTGCTAGTAGTAGAATGCCAGTTAGTGAAAGTGAACTGGAAGCCTGTAGAGCAAATCTTACCCACAGGCAAAAGGGAGCAAGCTCACCACACTCATGGTGGTTGACTACGGACTAAACTCCCTCCCTCGCAAGTCAGACAACTTATACCACACTGACTGGAGCCTTTAATTAGGCTCCAACTCCTCATCCATCCCCCATGAAAATAAATAGTCTTGATTAACTAGGTCATGATTAACTAGTACCCATTGACTTCAAGCATGGCTTAAGGATGGAGCCAACCCACCACTCTAACTCCAGGATGCATTCTAAAAAAAAGTAAGTGGTCCTTTGTACTCATTGGTGCTCCAGGAGAACTTTTTTCTCTTTTCAAGCAAGTTGCTTCCAAAGAAAGTGTGTGTCAATGCATTGCCCACAGTGATTCCTTCTCAGGGCTGGTATTTGGAGCACCCAGAGCCAACTAGCTTGATCTGGTACCAGAAGGGAGGAGGAGTAGCACCATCCTCAAGCCTGGACAGCAAAGGGATGTGACATGCACCAAAATACACACCTGACTGCCATGTTTCCTCTTTCTTTCCCCCTGCCTTCCTCTTTTTCTTTCTTCCCTTCTTTCCTGTGAGAGTCTTTCTTCTTCAGGTGCCTCTCCATCTCCACAAGGGGGTCCAATTTTCCTTTCAGCTTCTCATCCTTGGCAACAATCTTGTTGCGTTCTGGTACCTCCTGATACCAGGGACGACTAGTCTGGGCCTCTGCTGCACTCTGACCCAAGTAAGTGAGGATACCCAGAGCTTTTTCCTGACGCTCCTGAGAGAGAATGAAAGAACCCAGAGGTGTCACCCTACCACACATGGCCAAATCACAGCTGCCAAGGATGTTCTCTGAATTATTTTTTACTTATAACTCTACAAAACTCAGAGTGGTTTCCAGGGCATTCCCACCTAGATCACATATTGAAAAGGCAATTTTGGATTATAGCTCCCAGAATCCAACCAGTGCCTGACTGAGGTTCACTCGCCAATACTCTTAACCTCAACAGTTTCACTACATCAAATTTCCCTGGACCATTCATTGAGCTTCATTAAAAAAAAATCCTTGTGCTCACTTATCCTACACACTAAGGTCCCCTGGGAAAAAATCTTCAGCCTAAAAAACCTAGACTGGCTGCAGTAACCCAGAGGGCCTTCTCAACTGCCACCCCTAGGTTATGGAATGACCTGCCGGAGGAAATCCATCACATCACCACCTTAACAACCTTTAAAAAGGCACTTAAGACGGATCTCTTCTGACAGGCCTTCCCAAAATAGTCCTCCCCTCCATATATTTGCTTTTTATGCAACTTCTATATTATTGTTTTCTTACTGTATTCTTTTATTTTTATGCTTGTAACCTACCTTGATTCCCTTTGGAAATAGGCGGGCTAGAAATAATAATAATAATAATAATAATAATAATAATAATAATAATAATAATAATAATAATAATAATAATTATTATTATTATTATTATTATTATTATTATTATTATTATTATTATTATTATTAATCACAGTCACAAACTGCTTGTAATCACCATTACTATGTCCTTGGGCAGCCTTTGAAAGTGTGGGAAAGAAAAAAACAAGTTCTACAGCTCTCACAATAGAACCAGGAGGTTAGTTAACAGGTAACTAGTCTGCATAAAGTTATGAACTGCTTACTTTACAGGGTATAAAATTAGTTATTAAATCTGAACAACAGGCCATTAAAGGTTGTCTTGGAGCAGTTCAGCATGCCCAGATTGCTGGGAGTGCAAGAAGCACTGAGCTTAAAGGCTCTAAATGACCATGACTTCTACCATATAGTGTGGCAGAGGCAGATGCTCCAAAACTCCTGAATATCTGGGCTCCTTGACTCTTCATCTTTTCTGCTCAAGCAGTCAGGAGCTAGCAAGAACCACAAGCCATCCTTCACCATCTCTGCCAGTTCATAGCCTTTGAGACCTCTGAGTCTACAGGAAAGGGGAAACATAAGCTTCCCTGTCCCTTACCTCTTAACTTCTTGTAAGCTGTCTTAGGTCCTCTGCTGGAAGAAAGGCAGGATATAAATTAAATAAATAAATACAAATATATAAACAACACATCTCACCTTCTCTTGCCTCTTCTCTTCCTCGTATTCTTTGTTGCCAGTCTCTTGCAACTCTTGGAAAAGGTTGAGATGGTGCTCAGGTGTTTTCAAACCTAAAGGGACAAGGTCTGAGCTTTTGTCATTACTTCCTGGGGCAGAGAGACGGGCTTTCTTGCGCAGGAATTCAGTTCGAGCCTAGGAGCACGAGACATTTGTCCATATAGCAATTTTCCATATAATTTATCCACTACTTCAACAGCTACCTCTCTGACTCGCATTTCACTACCATGGTAGCCACCTACTTTCTTCCCAATTTTTTTTGGTGGGGGGGTTCTTGCATAATTCCCTACAAGCATGATAGCCAACTGCTGTCATATGAAGATTAAATCTGTCTAAATTCTGGACATAGGAATGGTGGAAGTAAAAGATTTGGATGAAGAAATGTAATGTGGCATCAGTAGCAGCAGCATTTTATATCAGGTAACTGCATGTGAAAAAGTAATAAATAGGATAACCAGATGCTACTGAAACTGTCATTAGCCGAAACAAAGGAGGAGGTGTAGGAGAGCACTTTTCAAGCAGTGTTTTCCTCTTGACCAGTGACTTAGGTCTAAAACACACTGCAGAAATAATCTAGTTTGAGACTGCTTTAGCTGCCTTGGTTCAATGCTAGAGAATTCTGGGAACTGTAGTTTTATGAGACATTTAAGCCTTCTGTCAGAGAGCTCTGATGCCACAATAAACTACAATTCCCAGGATTCAGGGCTGTTAAAGTGGTCTCAAACTTTTTTTGGATTATTTTCTGCAGTGTGTTTTGCACCTTAAACTTCTTCCGCCTCAGCCTGCTAGCTTTTAGAGCAGTGATTCCCAAACTTTGTTCCTCCAGGTGTTTTGGACTTCAAGTCCCAGAAGCCCCAGCTAGTTTGGCCAGTAGTCAGGAATTCTGGGAGCTGAAGCCCAAAACATCTAGAGGACCAAAGTTTGGGAACCACTGTTTTAGAGCAAAAGAAACAAGAATCAGAGATGTAAGGGCTCTTTAAAGACTATCAGATTCCTTATGGTGCTTGAGCTTACTCTGTCAGATGCAATAATCTTATTACAGTTGACAGATTATATGTATGTTAGTGGTCACACAGAGGTACAAAATAATTATGAGGGCCAAAAGGCTAAGAGGTATTTTTATGAAGTGACCAAAAGTATATAAAGAAGCAAAGAACACAACTTAGTAACAGAATTAACTGGCGTAACATATCCTTCCCATCTTTGCTAATTTAAACACCAGCAGTGGAAAGCTAAATAGTCTCAACTGAACCCAATATGAACAGAATCAAATTTGCTAATCAATTTTGTTTGGCCACTTCAAGATAGAGTCTTTGGACCATTTTTTTCTTTCATGTGGATTCTAGCATTTTAAGTGGCTAGTGGGGAAGAACACCAGCTTGAACGGTCTCCCACTTTCAAAACTAGTACATCAATTAAAATCAGTGCCATCACTTTAATAGCAAAAAAAAAAATAAAAAATCCACATACTGTATACTAACTCAATATTCTCCCATTTAATGCAAAGCAAAATTGTTTCTCACTGGTCAATATTTTATTTCAGAATTATAACTGTCAAGATATTTGTCCTGATACTTTGATTGTGATTTCCTGCATGGCAGGAGGTTGGACTGGATGACCCTTGTGGTCTCTTCCAACTCTATGATTTTATGATTCAAATGTAATTTTAGAAACACAGATTAAACAATGTCATAAGAATAAATATCTTTAAAGTTATAATTCTAAAATATACAGCTATACTTAAGCTTCACAAATCCAGTTTACATTAAATTGTTTAGTGGTAGCTAAAAAGGACAAGGACTTTGTAGCAACAGCCCGAGATCAACAGTGGTTCCTTCTCTAGAGGTTTTCAGACAATAAAGGCTTGGAGGGAGCAAATTTATTATGGGGTTGTTGTTGTTTTTGGCAAGTTTCTTCAGAAGGAGTTTGCCTTTGCCACTGCAATCTTCTGAGACTGAGAGAATGTGACCTGCCCAAGGTCATCCACTGGGTCTACATGGACAGAGCCAGAATTCGAATCCAGGTCTCCAGAGTCATAGTCCAGTGCTCTAACCACTACACCAGGCTGGCTCTCTTCACCCTAGACGCAGTCCAGAATGTGCATATTAACAGAAGAATGCATTCACAAGCATTTTTGTTTAATGAGAACTATTGAACACTACAACAGGAAGGTTTCACAAGCCAATGCTAAAAATGGAAGAGAGAAACTAAGGGCCTTTGCAGACTGCTAGAAATAGTGCAAATTGAGTCCACTTTAACTGCCCTGGCTCAGTGCTAGGGAATCATGGGAATTGTATTTTTTTATGAGACATTGAGCCTTCTCTGTCAGAGAGCTCTGGTGCCACAATAAACTACACTTCCCATGATTCCCTAGCACTAGTCAGGGCAGTTAAAGTGGACTCAATTTGCACTATTTCTGGCAGTATGCAAAGCCCCTAAGTACCAAGGTACTATATAACCCCAAGCACTATATATCCCAATAAAAGAACCCCCTGCTTTGCTACTTGAAAGACAGTCACTTATTTGCAATTCATCGTTGAAATAACAACTGTACTATAAACATTTACCCTTTGTGAAATTTACTCGACCAGCCTCTAACTGCAACTACTCTCTCTGTTTTCAGCTGCAGAGAGAGGCCAAAAGGGCCTGGAATACGACTGGACTTTTATTGAGTAATTTTATTATATTCACAACTTGTATGGATGACAGATGGTTTCCACTGTTAACCACATGGTGTTATAATATAATTTCAATATCAAGTTCAAGTAGTGGTTTCATTTATTGGGCTATATAGTACTTGGGGACATATAGTACCTTAGTACTTAGTTAGTTTCTCGTACTTAAAGAGAACCAGCCTTCCTCCTTCTCCATTCATTCATTCAAACTCTCTCCAACCCCCTCCCCTCAGAATGAAGTACACGCATGCGCAATTGACTCCTTTTCTCTGTCCCAAGCTAGGGAAACAGCGCATGCGCGTCTCTGACGACGCTACAGCAACAACCGCCTCTTTAGCGCATGCGCCGTGGCTCCCACTTGCCTCCTGTTCGGCAAGCAGGACTCGGGCCTCCTTCTTCTGCCGCTGCGCCTCGGCCTCCGCTTCGTCCCGCCGCACCCGCGCCACATTGTCCTTGTTCCGCACGTGCCACGACTTCTTGGGAAGGATGTTCATCCTCGCTGTGACTCCAGGACCTTCTTCCTGCGAGACACCGACACTTCCGCCTCCTGGTATTCGCTTCCGGAATGGATGGGGAAATCTCCTTTCCGATTGGTGCGATCTCTTTGGCGTCCGTTAGAGAGCGTGGCCGTGCCGTCACTTCGTACGTGTCTTTGGCGTCATCACGTCGACGTTGACGCTGCCCGCTCACGCTTCATTCTGATTGGCTCGCGCTCGAGGCAGCCTTTGCTGCGATTGGTGGAGATTCTTCACGCGCTGTGCATTGATAGAACGTGATTTGAAAAAATAGCAATATGGGGTCATTCCTCTCAAAGCCATGACAGAGTACGCTGTGCTTACGTCGTGTCCGGTGCTTACGTCACGTCCAGTTTTAAAAAAATAGAGGGCTATATGGCTGGCGACCAGGGTTCGGATCCTGCTCAGCCAAGAAAGCCTACTGGGTGACCCTGGGCAAGTCACACTCTCTCAGCCTCAGAGGAAGGCCATGGCAAGCCCTCTCTAAAGAATTCAAAGATACAGCCTTGTTAGTCTGTAGAATCAGTAATGTAGAGAGAGATTCTTGTAGCACACTAACTGAAAGAAAGAAGCTGGCAGCATGAACTTTCCTAGACTTCAGTCTACTTCCTCAGATGCATTTGGTGGAGTGGAAGCCAGGGGCAGACATATATAGTATATATAGAGAGAGTGTTGAAGTGTGTGTAGTGAGTCAGGAACCCATTGTCTTTGTTCAATCCATTGCTGAGGGATGTAGTTTGTGGATAAATTCCCATTCTGCTGTTTCTCTTTCCAGTCTACCTTTGTAGTTCTTTTGTTCAAGGACTGCTGTTCTGAGGTCTGAGATGGAGGGCCCAGGGAGACTGAAATGGTCTGCCACTGGTTTTTGTGTATTCCCATTCCTAATGTCTGATTTATGTCCATTTATCCTCTGGTGCAGGGACTGGTCTGTTCCTACATTTCTACTGGCCTGACTCTGCATTGGGCAAACAGGCCAGTTCCTGCACCAGATGATAAATCAGGGATAGGCAACCTTTCCCCTTTAAGGGCCGAGGGACTTCAGCTCCCAGAAGCCTCAGCCATGTTGGCCAATAGTCCCAGGTTGGCCAATAGCTCCTGGGATTCTGGGAGCTGAAGTCCCTCGGCCCTTAAAGGGGAAAGGTTGCCTACCCCTGTGATAAATGGACACAAATCAGACATTAGGAATGGGAATACAGTTTCCCCTCCCAATTCTCAGGGAATCTGTCCCAGAAAGCCCCCCACTCCCACCAATTGAGAAAATCACTAATATTGGGATCCCATTGATTCCAATGTGGGTGCACTCCTGCATGCGGCACAGTGCACCATTTTGTCCCTCACGGCTTGCTGTCCGCGAAGGAATAACAGACGCAAACAGCAAGACCGTGAACCGCGAGGGACAAGTGTACACAAAAACTAGTTGCAGACCATTTCAATCTCCCTGGGCAGTTCATCTCAGACCTCAGAACAGCTTTGTTGTTGTTCTTGCATGCCTTCAAGTCATTTCTGACTTATAGTGACCTTAAGGTGAACTTATCATGCGGTTTTCCTGACAGGTTTCTTCAGAGGGGGATTTGCCATTGTTGTCCTCTGAGGCTGAGAGTGTGTGACTTGCCCAAGGTCATCCAGTGGGTTTCAATGGCCAAGCCGGGATTCAAACCCTGGTCTCCAAAGTCATACTCCAATGATCAAAGCACTGCACCAAGGTGGCTCCTTAAGTCAGAAACAACTTGAAGGCACAGAACAACAATCAACTCTCCAAATAACTGACATTTCTATGTGGTATCAGATGTGGTGCTGGAAAAGAGTGCTGAGGATACCATGGAAAGCCAAAAAGACAAACAAATGGGTCCTGGAACAGATCAGGCCTGAACTCTCCCTGGAAGCCAAGATGATGAAACTGAGACAGTCATACTTTGGACACATCATGAGAAGGCACAACTCACTAGAAAAGAAAAAATGCTTGGAAAAGTGGAGGGAAGTAGAAAGAGAGGAAGGCCACACGCCAGGTGGATAGCGTCAGGAAGGTCACAGCCCTGAGTCTACTAGACCCACGCAAAGCAGTGGCAGACATCTCATTCACAGGGTCACCATGAGTCTATCCCCTTTTTACCTGTGAGGTCTATGACCATAATAAAGATGAATTGAACTGAACTGAGTCAAGATTGACTTGAAGGCAGCTAGCAACAAAACAATCATATGAAGAGCAGTACTGAACTCAGAAGGAGGAATGAAAATGGGAGGGACATCAACAATCTGCAGATGATACCATGTTACTAGCGGAAAACATCAAAGACTTGGAACAATTACTAAGGAAACCTGAAGATAGTGCAAAGGCAGGACTAATGCTGAACATAAAGAAAACTAAAATTATGACCACAGAGGATCTACATAAACTCAACCTAGATAATGAGGACATCAAAATAGTTAAAAGATTTGCTGTATAAGTGGTGGAAAAAAGTATGGGACCTGTGGTTACTTGAAAAACTGTAGACAGAATGGTGAGTTATGCAGGACGACCAAAATCAGGACCTTTCATAGACAAATGGTTCCCACTCATTGACTTTATAAACAGACAGAAACAAGAGAAGACAACCTCCATCTCATCTGAATCTTTGGTTGGACATTCTGGACTAGATTTACACAAATACAGCACTGGACTTTAAAATGACCACTTATATTGAACAGAACCCAAGAAGGAGACCCACAACACAATTCAAAGTTGTGAGATGAATTGTTTTATTTTGTTTTATTGTGATATGTTTTGTACATAGTTGTTTACTTATGGTTTTTTTAAATGCTTAAAATAAAATAAATAAATAAAAGATTTCCTGTACCTTGGATCAAACATTGATCAGAACAGATGCTGCAGTCCAGAAATCAGAAGAAGACTAGGAATGGGAAGGGCAGCCAGGAAGGAACTAGACAAGATCATAAAGAGTAAAGATATGCAGCTGAGCACTAAGCACTTGTTCCAAGTCTGTGATGTTCTTCAGTAGAGGTATGGTATACACATAGCTTATTGTTGATGTTCCTTCCTCCTATCTTTACTCCTCCTCCTCCTGAGTTGAAACCTTTTCTAGTGATATTTTGTGCGTACAAGTTGAACAAGTAGAGTGATAATATGCAGCCTTGCCTGACCCATTGGGAACCATTCAGTTTCTCCATATTCTGTTCTAACAGTGGCCTCTTGTCCTGCGTACAGATTTCTCATTAGTACAATGATGTAGTGGCACTCCCATGACTTTTCTTATTCAGATTTATTATTTTTAATACCTGTACAGTCGGCTCTTTCCATCTGCAGGTTGGAGCCTCCACAGATGCCCTAGCCCTATTCTTGCACACTGCACTGCCATTGAGGAGAACGGAAATTGAGGTCCCGTGGAATTTGTCACCCACCAGAGGATGGTGGGTGTTTCCAGAACAGAACTGCTGCAGATACGAAGGGCTGGCAGTATTTGAATATACATAATAATGAGGCCAGAGAAAGACTTAAGGGCCTGTCTGGTGGGAGGCATGAATTCTTGCCATTTCACAGACCCTTGTGTCTCTCTTTAGCCTCACAAATACATTACAGGTACGTACTATGCTACTTGTAGCTCAAAAAGTTTTGGATTTTGGAATACTTTGGATTTCAGAATTCTGGATAACAGATACTCAGCTTGTATTTTTTCTTAAGATATCCTTTGTTTCTCTTTGGTTGTTGCACACATGTCACAGTCAACAGCAGCATCCTATTTATGAAAGAAAACCTAATGTCAGCATAGCAGGTTGTGAGATTATGGGAGTTGTAATCCAAGACATCCAAAGGATACTAAATTGACAAAAGCTGTTCATATCTCCCCTATATTGTCACAATACTCCTGATATGGGACCTAAGAGA